CCCTCGAAAATGGTCATGTTTCAGCACCTCCTTCCGAACGGCTTGTTCCCCCACGCACCCCCAGCAGAGCTAGCATCCCCTGTCAAGCGCTGCGGGCGGCGTCTTCCAAGTCCAAGAACAAGAACCGCAGAAAGGCTTCGCCGACCCAGGCGCAGGCGGCGGTCGCCGCCCGCAACCCTGTGTACCCCATCGCCGAGGCGTTGGATCTGGTGAAGGACGGCGCCAAGGCCAACTTCGACGAGACTGTCGAGGTATAAACTTCATGGGGAAGACAACCTTAGGAAAAGAACGGGTGGTCTCAAACTGGTAGCCTTTTTGCGTGTTCGTGTGTATGATATTTATGACACATGAAGCACTCCGCATCGTGGTATTGTCGAGGTGCGAATTTTCTCCAAGATAACCCGCAGTAACAGCATGTGGTTTCCTCTCTTCTCTGTTTTTTATTGTTTTGCGGACCCTTCGTGTCCATTTGTTCGAGTGCCCTTTGGGGGATGAGTTGAAGTCTGTAACCACGGGAATCGACCGCGTCAAGTGGTAACCCAGTACGGACAGATGGAAGTATTGGGCAGAGAGATCGGCACGTGTTTTATGTGAGTATAACAACAACTGCAACAACATCGTGAGGTAGCTCTCCCCCCTGAGGGGTTGAGTAGCGAGTAGCCGACCCGTTCTGGTGTGTAAGATGCCTTGGTATTGTGCCGTACGGCTTCGCAAACCAAACCTTGCTCTCGCTCTTCCGGCGCTTATGGGTGACGATGCTTCACTCCGACCTTCGAACGTCCTGCCGGCTCTTGTGCTCGTTTTGTACTGCAAGGTGGCGATGGTGCTTAACGTGGACCCCCGAAAGGCAAACCAGACTGTCCGGGGCACCGTGCAGCTGCCGAAAGGTAGCGGGAAGACGGTGAGGGATCGAGAGCGACGTGTGTGTGTGTGTGGGGGGGGGGNTGGGGGGGGGGGTAGAGGTAGAGGAGCGCCTGCGGAGCAGCTACGGCATATGTTTGTGTTTTTCTTGTTCGCTGGTGTCGTTGCTTTCTTGACCCGCGTCCTACCAATTCATCTGCTCCATACCCTCCTTTACGTCTCGCTCCCTGTTCATTGACTGAACATATCTGTGGGCTACACTCTGTCGTCCTTCATTCAGCTTTGCCTGTGCCCCCCCGCCACGCCTGCTGCGTATTTTTGTCACTGGTCTGTTGTGCCTGGCGTACTGTAGGTGCGGGTGGCGGTGTTCGCAAAGGGGGATGATGCAGACGCGGCGACCGCGGCGGGCGCGGACGTTGTCGGCGCTGAAGACCTTGTGGCCTCCGTGATGAAAGGTGAGTGACGTCATGTGTGACCTGTCCCTGATGTATGGTTGTTCCTGGTGTAGCAACAATCGTGCTGACCTCTAAAATTTTCCCAGCACCCGCAGCACCGACGTTGATCCTCAAAGACCTGTGGACCGAAGTGTGTGTGTGTATTCGTCCTATCTATTATGGCGACAATCCCCCCATGTACTACACTTTTTCAGCGTGTGTAGAGTACTCTACACTTTTCAGTGTATTTTTTCGTACAACTACAACCATCCAGGGTCACACAGGAGGGGGTAAATAAACACCAGGGCTTTTTTATTCTGCTTATTCATTTCCATGCCCCACCTTCCTCCTGCGGTGCGTGCTGAACTTTTATTTTTATCGCGAGAAGGGTCCAGCCGTTCCTTTCCCTTGTCAACGGTGCTAACGTCGAAGTTTAGTACTCACGAGAGCTGTTCAATTATATTTCGCGTTCACCCGCCGAGTTTGTATATTTTTCAGCCCGTGGGGATACGAACTCACGACCTCTGCGACTAGCGGTTTACGAGGACACCACTAGACCACCGGGGCGACCAGGTTACAGATGCATGATGTCAAAGTGAACATCAGCTTGATTTGATTCACTTTTGGCCAAGGGACGCGACCGGTACACGGTGTACCGGGCGTCGGGTACCTGTTGATAGGCGCAAGTGTTTATTTTTTTGTCGGCCATGTAGAACAAAAACAGAAGGAAAGGAAGGAACGATTCCGCATATTGACGTAATTTCTCTAGCGTGAGAATCCTTGCTCCGTCCTCCCGAGGACGCATGGTCATTTGTCTAAAAACTAAAGCATGAACAACGTCGGTATCCCCCCCCCCCCTCCCGCTTCGCGATTGGTGATGTGCTAAGCTGCTCCGGTGAAAACCCGGCGTGCTCCTTCCCGGCTTTGTAGTGACGCGAGGTCAATGGTCTAACGACTATGGCTACAATTATCTGATGATGAGCCCCTCCCCCCCCCCCAAAAAAAAATGGATTCCAGGGAACATCGATTTCGAGCGGTGCGTGGCTACGCCGGAGATGATGTCGGTTGTCGGGCGAGCCGCGAGGGTTCTGGGCCCCAGGGGCCTCATGCCGAACGCCAAGCTAGGCAGCGTGACTCGAGACGTGGAGGCGGCCGTTAGGGCGGCGAAGGGGGGACAGGCGCAGTTCAGGGCGGGAAAGAATGGAGTGCTGCACATGGGGGTCGGTAAGGTGAGAACCCCGGCCGCGGGGGAGGTGACGCGGAAACATTATTTGTTGGTGGTGATTGTGTTGCTGTCGGTGTTTTCCTGTGAGGTAAGCAGGCACGTGGTCCCGTGCTCCGAAAACACTCGTGCTGTCAATGACAAGTAAGCGTGGTGCTTCGAATACGCTCATGCCGTCAACCCCAGCAAATGGCCGTAGCCGCCATCGTATCACATGAAAAAGGCTGAGCGTGGATATGGCAGTGAGTGGGCGAGGGGGTGCTCACCCCACGAAACAGCCAGGAATGCCACCTGTCTTTTTTTTTTTTAGGCGTATTGTTTTTTCTGGCCCGACCTACATTGTTTCATCTTTTCTTACACAATGAACGTTTTGGTTGGTAGATTCGTGCTGCTACCGTACCAGAATTGAAGGCATGACTACTGTTCTCGCAAGACGAAACGATTTTTGTGAAGAAAAAAGAGCTCAGGAAGGGGAGTTGCGCGTTTTGCGCGGGCGTTCTCGTTTCTGTCCTCGTTTGTTTCCGTCTAGCCTCCGTCGTTTTGGTTTGCTTTTGGACAGGCGAGATGTGAAAGCGGGAGGCTAAGCATGATTAAGTGCTTTTGACTTTCTTTTTGGCTTGTTTCGAGCGAGCACCACGAGATTGCTTGGAGAGGCCGACGGCATGATCGAGCCTGCGTTTTTTTCATGTCTCCTTGAGTGTGTGTGTTTGTGCTCTTTTGTTATGCCACGTTGTTGTTGTTGCTGTTGTTGCTGTTGCCGACAGGTGAGCTTTGCGAGGTCAGACCTTATCGAGAATGTCCGCGCGACCATGGTTGCTATTTCCAACCTCAAGCCCGAGGTGATCAAGGGGAAATACATCTCGCAGGTGTGTGCGTGCATGTTCGTGTGTTGAGTGCTTGTTCTTTTTTAGCTTCGGACGTGCTATCCAATGATAAGACGCCAGTCGTGTGTGCGTGTTTCTTTGTTGTCTGACAACGTTTGCATCGACCGCGCAAGTCGTTCGGCCAGTGAAAGACGCTATGTTCGCCGGACAACACACGGAAAAATGATCTGTTTGAGCCGACGAACACCGTTACTAAGAGTATGTATAGATGCTGATATCATACTCCCATGCTTGCTTTTACACTTGGTGTCGCCGCCGACGTTTTGTTTTTTCTGTATCGGACCTCTCCATGTACTTTCACGATAGCGCAAGCTGGCCGCTTTCTCATTGGCACACGGTTTTCTCCCCGATGATCTTTTCACGAAGGTCGGGGATGGGTACAGTAGGCTCAAACGGCGCGCTTGTGGTCTGCAGTGCTGGTTCTCACAAGGCATGCCCGCAACGCCCGGTCGAGGCCTCCTGTCAACCGACCTATGTTTGTCCCCTATCGATGCAGTCTACACCACGGAATTGCATCGACTCTGATTCAGGGTGGCAACAACGAGGTCTGCAGCATGCCAACTTCCCCTGCCGTTTTTGCGAACACGAGCCATAGTTCGTCCAACTCGGCTTTCCGTTCGGGGCGACAATGCCGATGGCGCAGGTCACGCGCTTACAGCACACAAAAATAGTTCCCTCCCTGCATCACGTTGCCCGCCCCCCTCCGGTACCATTGGTCATCGGTGATCGGTCCTGTGAGAACAACAACGCCCCGTCCCTACCCTCTAACGCATGCACAACATGGGAGGACCGCCTTCGCGGAAATTCAGTATTATAAGGAAAGAACAGGGAGGGTGTACGGAGACCCTATTCCCAAACCCTAACCCAACTTCCCCGATTGCATGCATTATCCAACATGTTTCCTGAATACAAAACGCTGCGGAGGTTACTGATATGAGAGTACCCCCCCCCCCCCCCCCCCCCCC